TGCAGTGTGGTTTTTTTTAAGCTATTAAAACCAGTTGCTGGCAAGTTGACCCCCACTCCTGCTGAGCCCACTGTGTCAGAGTGGGGTTGTGTTCAGTGGCTGGTTCTCGGGAGTCGGTCACTAGGCCTTTCTGTAGGAGCACCACATAGTGCAGACCAGTGTCCAGCGTTTAGGCTAGCAGTTGAGCACATGAACGACTGGCACCACACAGAGTATCCTACTTTATTATAAGGGCCTTTATCGTTTTAAAAGGGATTTTATTATATTTTTAGGATATGATTAATTCGCCATATTTATGTCAAGTATCTATCCAGTTTGCACTTTGCCCTCAATGGTTGTGGATGTTTCTGACAACCCAATTCTCAAGTCACGAGAGTAATAAGCTTGTAGGGATGCTGCATAAGTAGCAGCAGAAGGGGTGCTTCAGGAACTTTGATCCCGATAATCCCCCACCCCTGGGAATGAGAATGTGGGCACTGACACTGAGCTAGAGAACGTGAAGGGATCAAGACGTGAAAGGATCAAGACGTCTATAAATATAGTTTTCTCTGAGGGCATGAATGCCTTCAACAATCTCTTCCTCAATAGGAATGCACGTGCCAAATGCAAACCGTGGCATATCATAAAATTAATTGCTTCAACCTGGCATGACCATACCTTGTTGAGAGAGTCAATGGCATAAGCAAACTTAATATAAAGTATTCTGAGGTCCTGAGGAGGGGGCCGAGGATGGAACATCTGCTGCTGTGTTCCATGGCCACTCACTCTGTGTCCAGTGTTTCTCTGTAACTTGCTTATCGAAAAGTAGGGAGGTCATCTCATCTTTCTGTGAGTGGGGGTGCAGAGAAGATCTCCTCCTGCCAATCTCTAGTTTACCTAAAATGTTGTCCTAAATGATGTAAAATACTATCAAAGCTCTCAATCTTTTCTTTGGTTTTTCGTATCTGGGCTTTCCACACAAAGGTCATGCTAATATCAAATTATATTTTTATTCTCTAGTCTTTTTTCAATGATTTAGTTTAAAAAAATTTTTTTATCATGATCTGTAAATTACTCACTCACTGCCATCCAAGCTGAAAGTGGGTAGAAAGGGTAGAACTGCTTCTGTGCGTTTCTGAGACTGGAACTGTTTCTAGTATTGGTAACAGAGTATAAAGTGAACCTCTCCATTCTTTCTCCAGTATTTTTCCTCCAAGCATTTTACTAAAGAGTCCCAATCCCCCTTCCCCAGTGATTTGAGAATCTTTATTATAATGACTTTACATTT